GCTCTGGCCGGCCACCCCGGCCTCCGCTCCCGCCCTCTGCCGCTCCACATGTCTGACCATGTCTGGCGGCGACGACGACGACGGCGACGACGAACTTCGAGGTTCGAGGAGGTTTTTTCCCGCTTTCGGTGTCTGGAGGCCCGTTCTAAGCCCCAGGGCTCCAGGACCGCCAGGAATCGATCTGGAACGAAAAACTGAATCGGGGAGACCCCAGGAGGGGTCTGGGGATTGATTTTGAGCCGATTTCGGTCGAGGGGACGACGACGACGACGACGACGACCACGAGGACGACGACGACGACGACGACGACGACGACGACGACGACGACGACGGCAACGACCATGACGACCACGACGACGACGACGACGACGACGACGACGACGACGACGACGACGACGACGACGACGACGACTACGACGTTGTCTTGGTTGCTGGCTGGCTGGCTCGCGTGGCTCGTGGTGGTGGCGCTGGTAGTGGTAGCGTGGTGCACACGGGACATAAAATAAAGTATGTGGGGTTCCTCGGTAGCGTAATTATCGTCTCGGAGCCCTTCTTGGGGGCCTCTTGGAGCCCGCTTGGGCCGTCTTCCTGCACTGTGGGGCCTTCTGGGGCCTCGGGGGGGATTCTTGGAGGGCAACTAGCGGTTTCTGGGATCATCCTGGAGCGGAGGGCGCGAAATGCCAGTTGGAGTTTCACCTTATGAGGCACTCCTGGGGCCGTCTTGGGCCGTCTTGGGGCCCTCTTGGGTCGTCTGGATGCTCTCTCGGCGGCCTCGTGCGCCTCAAGAGCCATCGTGGGGCCGTCTGGGGGCCGTCCAGGGGGCTTCCAGAGGCGTGGTGGGGTAATCTGGAGGGCCAGTAGGGCCGTGTGGACATCGCAGTGGACGAAAAGCAGTGGACCTGGAAAAAGGCTCGTTTCCCTTAGGAATTTTAACGATTTTTCATTGATCTGGCTTTTTGGGGGCTCGTCCTGGAGCCGACTTGGAGCGTCTCGGGAGGACTTTTGGGCCGTCTGGTGCCTAGCTTGGGCATCTCGGAGCGCTGTGGGACCTAGTCGAAGGCCCTCTTGGGCCGTCTTGGGCGCTCTGTGGCCATCTAGTGCGTCTCGGGCAGTCGTGGGGCGACCAGGGGGGCCGGTTACGCCCCGCCAGCGCCCGCACTTCCCGCACGCTCGTGTTCCTGCGTTGTAGTGTAGATGACATTGGGCTCCAGCTTCGCCTCCCACATCTCGCTCAGCAGCGCCAGGGCCCGCTGCCACTGCTCGCCCTTCGTGAACGCGCTGATCCCAGCGACGTAGCTGACTGGTGTGAACCCGTGGATTAAATCCACGGCGTGCTGAGCCTTGGACTCGCACGCCATAGGCGACCAACTCGTCGAAGTTGAACAGCTCGGGCGTCCCTGGGGCAGGCGGTAGGGGCGACCTTCGGAGGCAGATGTGTGGTCACGTTTGAGGGCAACGGTTGGTGGCTATGTGTGGGGGCCAGGTTTGGGGGCGCCTGGGGGCTACTCGTGGGGGCGACGTTCGGGGGCCACGCTTACTGGGGCGGGAGGGACGACCTTCGGAGGCTTTATGTGGGGGCCGCCTTTGGGGGTCCTGTTTGGGTGCCACGTGTGAGGCCGACGTTTACGGGGCCACGTCTGGGGGCCACCCTGGAAAGCAGTCGGGGGAGCTCCAGGGGCACTGACCTGGAAGCGTGAAAAGGAATGGGTTTTTGCTAATCGCGCCGGGCCTGGGGGCGATTAGCAAACACACCTGGCTTTTCAGGCATAGTCAGAATGAGGGGAACACGTTTGCGGGCCTCAGTTGGGGGCCGCGCAGGGAGGTCTTGGGGCCATCTTGGGGGTCTCGGGCCGTGTCGGAGCTCGCTTTGGGCTCTGTTGGGCGGCACCTGAGGCCCAGTTGTCGCTGTCTTCTGCGTGACTTGAAACTCTCTCGGGCTGTCTTAGGGCCTTCTTCGGCGGTCTCTGGCCCTTCTTGGGCCATATGAAGGCCATCCTCGGGTTCTGTTGGGCGGTGTAGGGGTGATCTGAGAAGGTCCTGGGGCCGTGAAGGGCCGTTCGTGTCCCGAAATGGCGGGAAGAGCAAGAATCCTCCAAAACCTCCGGGAAACGGTAATTGGTGCATTTTGCGCGGTCCACGGGGCCCTCGAGGCATGTCTCTGGGGCATTTCGAGGCCGTCGTGGGGCTCTGGCCGGATCGGCTTCAGCTCTCTTGGGCGTCTTTGGGGCCGTCTTGGAGCGATGTGGGGGTCCTGGAGCCGTCGGGGAGCGCTCCAGGGGCGTCCTGGGGCCGTCGGGGAGCGGCTCAGAGCTCTGGCAGGTCGAAGCCAGCAGAACCGAGAGAGCAGCGGTGAGGCCCCCGATACAGCCAAGGGTGCGGGTGCTGGTATACGTAGGGCCCCCGAACCGGCTGTAGTGGCCTGCGGGCAATCTCGCCGCGGGCCTGGGTAATGGGTAAGAGATCTCGTGGATGTTGATTGGGATCTCGTGGGTGGCCTCTCGGGAGCCTCTGGGAGACAGTTTGGGGGCTTCTTGGTAGCAGTTTGGGCGCGTCTTGGGGCATCTTGGGCCCTCTTTTAGAGCCTCTTGGGAGCCTTTTGGGGCGCTGGGCGGCCTCTGGGGGGCCTCCTGGGGCCTCCTGGGGATGTCTTGGGAGCGTCCTGGCGTTTCTTTGGGTCGTCTTGGGGCTTCCTGGGGGCCTCTTGGGGTGGAGGCTTGGATTTTTCGGTTCTGGGTCCCTGTCTTGGGCCTCTCTTGGGGCCTTCTTGGGGCCCTCTTGGGCCGTCTTGGACGACTCTTGGGCCGTCTTGGGGCCCTCTTGGGCCGTCTTGGGGCCGTCTTGAAGGCCTCTTGGGCCGTCTTGGAACGGTCCTGGGGGCCTCTTGGGCGGTCTTGGAGCGTCGGAAAGCCGAAAAAGCGAGAAGGCCAAAAATATGTTTTGAAAAACAAAGAAAATCAACGATTTTGGCTTCTGCGGCCCCTCTTGGAGGTGCACTTCGAGCGCGCTGGGGGCCTCGTGGAGGCGTCTTGGGCCGTCTTGAAGGCGTCTGGAAGCCATCTTAAGCGTCTCGGATACACTCTTGGACCGTCTTGGGCCGTCTTCGGGACCTCCTGAGGCCGTCTTGGAGCGATCTGGGAATCCTGGATCAGTCCGCGAGCGGTCCGGAAGCCTCCTGGGCCCGTCGGGCAGCGGCCCGGAGGCTCTCCGGTCGGCCCGCGAGCTCTCTGGGCGGCCCGGGGCGCTGCCACTGCTTGACCTTTTCGCAAGCGCTTCGCCCGGAATTGTAGTATACCGTCCACGAATGCCAGAGGATTGAGCGTGCGCTCGCTGCTGCTTCTTGCTTCAGGGTGCGCTGTTTGCTTGATGATCCTGACGGCGTCTGGAGCAGCGCTAGCAGCAGCAGCAGCAGCAGCAGCAACAGCAGCAGAAGCAGCAGCAGCAGCAGCAGCAGCAGCAGCAGATCCAGCACCATCGGCACTAGCAGCAGCAACAGCTGCAGCAGCAGCTCCAGCAACAACAAAAGCAACGCGGACCTCCGGGGGCCTCCTGGGGGCCTTCTCGTCCTCGTCCTCCTCGTACTTGTCCTCGTCCTCGTCCTCGTCCTCGTCCTCGTCGTCGTCGTCGTCGTCGTCGTCGTCGTCGTCGTCATGGTCGTCGTCGTCGTCGTCGTCGTCGTCGTCGTCGTCGTCGTCGTCGTCATCGTCGTCGTCAACGGCGTCGTCGCCGCTGTCGTCGTCGTCGTCAGGGGATAGAGGGGCAGGGGGGAGCAGGGATGGAGGGGCGGCGGGGTCCAGCAGGCGGAGCAGCACGAGGCGGAGGGAGAGCAACGGCAGCAGCAGCAGCAGCAGCAGCAGCAGCAGCAACAGCAGCCGCAGGAACAGGGGGGCGCGAGCAAGGGGCGGGGAGGAGGAAGGCGAGGGGGAGCGCGCATTTGGCATGGAGAAAACCGTACCCCACACCTCTTGGGACACGCTCCGTGCGGGAGGGTCCATGGAAAGGGGGCCTGGGATGTCTGCGGGTGGTCCAAGCAGGGCTTTTTTGCATCCCCTCCCAGGTGATGCTTATCCCAAGAGGTGTGGGGTGTGGTTTCTTCGAATCAGGGGCGATGCTCCGGAGCAGGAAGGCCCAGGGCACGCTGGCTGCGCAAGGGTGGATGGGCCGACGTGTCCTGAGGAACCCGCGAAGGGGCCACGCTCTTGGGGTGGAGGCGGGGGGGGAAGGGGCGGTCATGCCTGAGAGGTCCTGGAGTGCACCGTGCTGTAGCAGGCTGTTCCCAGCGGAGGCATCGGGGAAGCGGCGGGGGGGCCCTCCGATACCCGGGAGGGGGTCCTCGTGGGGCTCTGTGGGAGCCTCTGGAGAACCTCTGCGAGCCTCTGGAGAGCTCTTGGGAGCGCCTCTGGAGCCTTCTGGGAACCTCTGGAGAGCGCCGGGAGGCCTCTTGGGGGCGCCTCCGGGGCCTTCTGGGGGCGTCTTGGAGCCTTGCTGGCCGTGGAGGGGCCCAGAGGGGGGGGAAAGGCGTCCCTTGGGGCCGTTTCGGGGGTTCTTGGGCCGTCTTGGGGGCCCCGGGAGCTCGATCGGGGGCCTCTGGGTCGTCTTGAGAACTCTCTTGGAGGCCCCCCGGGCAGCATGGGCCCGATTTCGGACGCCCGCAGTGCCATGGTGGGCATCTTGGGGCGGGCGGGAAGAGCACCACCGGAAACGTCAAAAACCCTAGAGAATATCGACTGTTTTGCGGCCTCGGGGCCCTCGTGGGGGTCCCCTGGGAGCTCCGTGGAAGCTCGCGGGGGCCCTCCGAACCCGTCCTGGGGCCCTCTCGGGCTCTCTGGGGAGCTTCCGGGAGACTCTCGAGGCCTCCGCGTCGGGGCCCTCATGGGCCGTCCCTGGGCTGTGCCGGGCCGAGACGGCGTCACCCCACGGGCGGGACCCCCGGGGCGCCGCCGCAGGTGACCATCGCTCGCCTTTCTCGCACGCGCAATACCAGGTATTGTAATATAGATGACGTTGGGCTCTAGCTTCGCCTCCCACATCTCGCTCAGCAGCGCCAGGGCCCGCTGCCACTGCTCGCCCCTCGCGCAAGCGAGGGTCCCAGCACTATAGCTGATGACGTCAGGCTCTAGCTTCGCCTCACACATCTCGCTCAGCAGCGCCAGGGCCCGCTGCCACTGCCAGCCCTTCTCGCACGCGCTGATCCCAGCGTTGCAGCTGACTAGGGCTGACCCGTGGACTCCGTCCACGACATCTTTCTGGAATGGTTCTCGGAGGAACGGCGCACATTGTACCGAAAATCTACAAACACGGCGGCGGCTCGGGCGGCGGCAGCGGGACCGCGCCTTCGTGTCCGAGCTCTTGCAGCGCTCCAGCAGCTTGGCCCAGCGCACTGCTCGTTCACCCCCCTCCTATTGATGGCAGTTTCGAAGTCTCTCGGGGATGTGCGTCGAAGTCGAAGCCCATCTGAGGCGTCTCAGGAGCGTTCGGGGAAGGGCTCGGGAGGCCATCGGGGAAAGCCACCGAAAGCGCCGGGGAGGCTCGCAAGGATCTACAGGGAGGGCACAAGAGAGCTTCAAGAAAATGTGAAATTCTGTGAAATCTGTAAAGAAGCCGCTGTTGGGTCGGCCATCACCTCCGGGCGCGCCTTGATGGTGCGATCCAGTCGCATCACCGCCAACGTGAGGGTTTGTTCGCCATGTCCCATTCTGTTCGCCCAGAGGGTCTGTGGAGGCCTTCGGGCGAACAGAACGGGACAGGGCAAGGAATGGGGAAGACTTGTCCGAATCTCCTGGGCCCCCCAGGTGCTCGTCCGAAGAATGCGGAGAGGTCCCAGGGTCATATCAATTGGCTGCTGTCCCAGGGGTCCGGTCTGCTTGGCCCGAAGAGTTTGCCAAGGCCCCTGGGGGAACAGAATGGCACAGCATATCGGGCAAAGGGGGGCGGTAGCTGGCCTGTCAGACCCGGCGTTCGTCTTCTGCCCAAGCGGCGCGGGGCCCACGGGCCCCAGGGTTGGCGGCCCGCTGGGTTTCCTCTTGTTCGCCCACAGGGTTGGAGGAGGCCTCCAGGCGAACATAATGGGGCAGGACAATGAATGTGGGACTTGTCGCAAGCTCCCAGCCCCCCCAAGTGTGCGCCCGAAGGGTGTGGGGCCGCGTTGGCTCCCTCAAAGGGCCGTCTTGGAGCCGTCCAGGCCCGTCTTGAGGGCGCCGTGTACCGTGATAGGGGCCGTCTTGGTTCGTCGTGGGCCCCTCATGGGCCGTCCGTAGGCCGTCCTGGGCCCATCGGGGTCCTCGTGGGGCTGTCTTGGAGCCGTCTGGGACCGTGAGGGGGCCGCCTTGGAGTCGTCTTGGGCCCCTCCTGTGCGCCTCCTTGGGCCGTCCTGGGCCCAGCAGGGGCCGTGTTGGCACCCTCTTGGGGCTGTCTTGGAGCCGTCTTGAGCCGTCGCAGCGCGCCTTGGGTTGTGCTGGGTCCGTCTTGGCCCGTCTTGGGGCCTTCGAGGGCGTTTCCTCGGACCCTCCTGGGACTTTCTGGGGCCTCTTGGTGTATCGGACCGCCGAAACGACGGGAAACGCAAAGGGTGTTACAGGAAGCAATGGAAAATTAACGATCTTGGGCCAGTCTTGAGGTCCCGACCAAGCGCGTCCTTGGGCCGTCCTGGGCGCGCCCTCCTGGGACCGTCTTGGAGTCGTCTTGGGCCGTCTTGAGCGCGCCTTGGGCCGTCCTGGGCCCGTCTGGGGCCGTGCTGGCACCCTCGCGGCGAGGAAGCCCGGAGGCGGGCTCGAGGCCTCTTTGGGGCCATTTTGGAAGCTGTTGGGGCCTCTGTTGGGGCCTCGTTTGGGCTCCTTGGGAGCCTCCTGGGGCCTCTTCGGGGGATTCTTGGCGGCCCCTTGGGGCCTCTTGGGGGCCTGTTTGGGCCTCCTGGCGCCCTCTTGGGGCGGAATACTCGGATTTTCAGTCCGTGGTCCCCCTCTTGGCCCCCTCTTGGGCCTGTCTTCGGGCCCTCGTGGGCCGTCTTGAGCGTCTCTTGGGTCGTCTTGGGGCCCTCTTGGGCTGTCTTGGGGCGCTCTTGGAAACCTCTTGGGCCGTTCTGGGGCGCTCTTGGAGGCCTCTTGGGCCGTCTTCGAGCGTCGGCAAGCGGAAAAGGCGAGAAGGCCAAAATCCTTCCAAAACCGTCGTAAACCGTCCAAAACCTCCTGAGGCGGTCCCCTCGTCGGCCTCCGTGGCACCTCTTGGGGACCTCTTTTGGGCTCCTGGGGGCCTCTTGGGCCTCTCTGGGCTCGTCTATCGTGCCCCTTGGGCTGTCTTGGGGCCCCCTAGGGCCTTCTTGGGCGGTTCTCGGGCCGTCTGGGAGCCATCTTGGGCCGCTCTTCGGGCCATCTTGGGCGGTTCTCGGGCCGTCTGGGAGCCTGTCTTGGGCCGCTCTTCGGGCCATCTTGGGGTCCCGTTGGCCTGTCTTGGGCGCCTCTGGGGCCGTCCTGGGGCCGCCTTGACCGTCTTGGGGCCCTCGTGGACCGTCTTGGAGCGGTCTTGGATGCCTCGGGGGGGGGGTTCGGAGCGTCGGGAAGCCGAAAAAGCCAGGAAGCAAAAAACCTCGGAAAAAAACAATGAAAATCAACGATTTTGGCCTCTCGGGGCTCTCTTGGAGCGCCTCTTGGGAGGCCTGTTGGGCCGTCTTGGGGAGCTCTTGGGCCGTCTTGGGCCAATCTCGGGCGTCTTGGCCGGATCATTGCGCGTCTCGGGGCCCTCTTGGGCGCCTTCGGGGCATCTTGAGCGGAGCCATCGGAGCGGCTCGGAGCCGTCTTTGGGCCGTCGGGGCGGCCTCCGGAGCGTCTCGGAGCCGTTTCCGGGCATTTGGCGCTTTTTCCTTCTGGCACGCGGTTCCTCCGGCCATATAGTATAGACTAGGGCTGACCCGTGGACTCCGTCCACGACATCTTTCTGGAATGGTTCTCGGAGGAACGGCGCAGATTGTACCGAAAATCTACAAACACGGCGGCGGCTCGGGCGGCGGCAGCGAGACCGCGCCTTCGTGTCCGAGCTCTTGCAGCGCTCCAGCAGCTTGGCCCAGCGCACTGCTCGTTCACCCCCCTCCTATTGAGGCAGTTTCGAAGTCTCTCGGGGATGTGCGTCGAAGTCGAAGCCCATCTGAGGCGTCTCAGGAGCGCCCGGGGAAGGGCTCGGGAGGCCATCGGGGAAAGCCACCGAAAGCGCCGGGGAGGCTCGCAAGGATCTACAGGGAGGGCCCAAGAGAGCTTCAAGAAAATTTGAAATTCTGTAAAATATTTAGAGAAACCGCTGTTGGGTCGGCCATCACCTCCGGGCACGCCTTGATGGTGCGATCCAGTCGCATCACCGCCAACGGGAGGGTTTGTTCGCCATGTCCCATTCTGTTCGCCCAGAGGGTCTGTGGAGGCCTTCGGGCGAACAGAACGGGACAGGGCAAGGAATGAAGGGAAGGTTGTCCTGGGTCATATCAATTGGCTGCTGTGGGTCCCTGGTTGGCCCGAAGAGTTTGCCAAGGCCCCTGGGGGAACAGAATGGCACAGCATATCGGGCAAAGGGGGGCGGTAGCTGGCCTGTCAGACCCGGCGTTCGTCTTCTGCCCAAGCGGCGCGGGGCCCACGGGCCCCAGGGTTGGCGGCCCGCTGGGTTTCCTCTTGTTCGCCCACAGGGTTGGAGGAGGCCTCCAGGCGAACAGAATGGGGCAGGACAATGAATGTGGGAGACTTGTCGCAAGCTCCCAGCCCCCCCAAGTGTTCGCCCGAAGGGTGTGGGAGGGCCGTCTTGGAGCCGTCTAGGCCCGTCTTGAGGGCGCCGTTTGCCGTGATGGGGCCGTCTTGGTTCGTCGTGGGCCTCTCATGGGCGCGTCCGTAGGCCGTCCTGAGCCCATCGGGGTCCTTGTTGGCACTATTGTGGGGCTGTCTTGGAGCCGTCTGGGACCGTGAGGGGGCCGCCTTGGAGTCGTCTTGGGCCCCTCCTGTGCGCCTCCTTGGGCCGTCCTGGGCCCAGCAGGGGCCGTGTTGGCACCCTCTTGGGGCTGTCTTGGAGCCGTCTTGAGCCGTCGCAGCGCGCCTTGGATTGTGCTGGGTCCGTCTTGGCCCGTCTTGGGGCCTTCCAGGGCGTTTCCTCGGACCATCCTGGGACTTTCTGGGGCCTCTTGGTGCATCGGACCGCCGAAACGGCGGGAAACGCAAAGGGTGTAACAGAAGCAATGGAAAATTAACGATTTTTGCCAGCTGGGGCTCTCTTGCCATCTTGGCCCGTCTTGAGGCCCCGACCGGGCGCGTCCTTGGGCCGTCCTGGGCCCACCCTCCTGGGACCGTCTTGGAGTCGTCTTGGGCCGTCTTGAGCGCGCCTTGGGCCGTCCTGGGCCCGTCTGGGGCCGTGTTGGCACCCTCGCGGCGAGGAAGCTCGGAGGCGGGCTCGAGGCCTCTTTGGGGCCATTTTGGAAGCTGTTGGGGCCTCTGTTGGGGCCTCGTTTGGGCTCCTTGGGAGCCTCCTGGGGCCTCTTCGGGGGATTCTTGGCGGCCCCTTGGGGCCTCTTGGGGGCCTGTTTGGGCCTCCTGGCGCCCTCTTGGAGCGGAATGCTCGGATTTTCGGTCCGTGGTCCCCCTCTTGGCCCCCTCTTGGGCCTGTCTTCGGGCCCTCGTGGGCCGTCTTGAGCGTCTCTTGGGTCGTCTCGGGGCCCTCTTGGGTTGTCTTGGGGCGCTCTTGGAAACCTCTTGGGCCGTTCTGGGGCGCTCTTGGAGGCCTCTTGGGCCGTCTTCGAGCGTCGGAAAGCGGAAAAGGCGAGAAGGCCAAAATCCTTCCAAAACCGCCGTAAAGTGGATGATTTTGGCCGCTCGGGGCCCTCGGGGAATACGCTTGCAGGCCCCATGTGCCGTCTTGGAGACCTCTGTGAGCCCGTCTTCGGCTCTGCGGCCGATCATGCAGCGTCTCGGAGCCGGGGTCCTCTGGGGCCGTTTCTAGCCATTTGGCTGGATTTCCTTCCGGCACGCGGTTCCTCCTGCCATATAGTATAGATGACGTTGGGCTGCATATTCGCCTCCCGCATCTCGCTCAGCAGCGCCAGGGCCCGCTGCCACTGCTCGCCCTTCTCGCACGCGCTGATCCCAGCACTATAGCTGATGACGTTGGGCTCCAG